TAAATATGTATTTTAACGTCGATTGCAAAATCTCTCCAGATGCATTGGCGATAATAAAACGAAACTACAGAATAACACGGAACTTTGTCAAGCTGGACTGAAAGTAGTTATGAGTATGAGCCCGATAGCATTGCGAGCTTCCCGAAAACGCCGAAGACCACAGAACATATACAGCTGAAGTTGAAGTCTCATATTAAATTTTATCAACACCTAGCATCGGACAAAAAAATAAGTAACCTTGAGTGTCAAATAGCGGGATATTTGAAATAGCTAAAAATCTATGAATTTTTCCAAAAATGAGAGATATTTCAAATTTCTCTTAGCTATAATTTAAAAATACATGATACGAATAACTCATGACATAATGTTCTTTTGGTGATATGTACAATAAAGTTAACATTTACATTCATTTGACCTAGCTCCGTGGGCCACAACTTGACTCATTTACATTCATTTGACCTAGCTCCACAACTTGACTCCCGGCAGGCCGCATGCGGCCCACAGGCCTTGTGTTGGCCACCCCTGACTTAAAGAAAACTTAAGTTTACAAGATATGCTCTAAGTGTAAATTAACCTGTTTCTAAACTAATAAATAGTGAACTGTGGCAGTTTGTAATAGTTAATGTTGAAATAGAAAATTGGTTTCAACTAAATATTTTTCTTTGAAACTTGATTATTTTTGAGAATCGGACAGGAGTATCTTAACATTTTTTACCGTAAATTGAATAATTGATCGCTCTGAAAGTTTTATTTGCCACTTTTCTTTGATCGCCCTGCACACTTCTGACTTATTTATTACAACTATTGCCATTTAAAATAAATTGTTCTATCATACTTTATATTACCCATTTAGTTGGTTCTTGTGAACCATCATTCTCTTTAAGTTTGTAATTAACAGATTTTGTTTATTCCTTTTACAGACTGGAAGCTATTCTATATTATCAATTGCATATGTGCATCCAAAACACTCAGGATCACTAATTTGGATGCAAAATTAGCTGTTGGTATAAGATCTAACTTTACAGGTAGTGATAAGTTGTTATAGGATACTTTGGCTATTCTAATAGTATAATGACATTTCAGTGTATGAAGATAATCTATTTTATATACTATAAAATATAGTTTTAAATTTTTTTAATATTTTACACAAAACATCAGCCAGCGGATTTCAAATTTTAGTACAAGATTGCAAAGCATTCTCATTTTAATGATTAGATTGGGAATTATGGACATTAAAGTAGTCTTCTTTTTGTATCCTCTTAATTTAATAACACTGATTAGCACATCTCAAACTTAGGTGTACTAAAACAGTTGACTTAAAAAAAAAAAAAAACAAAAACCAAGCAACATTCAACAATCTGTAATTATACTCCTGACAAATTTGTATTCCAAAATGACTTCTTGTTCATTATTAACTTTTTTATACAATTTACTAAGTGATGTAAGTTTAATATGTATATCCTACTCTAGACAAAATTCAATATAGCCAGTGTTTTGAGTGTTATCTAGACCGGGTGTTCCCAACTTGTGTTCCGCCAACAAAATTTGTGGTTCCACAATAAAATCCGTCGAGTCTATCTAGTGATGTATGAATGTGCCAATGCAAATTTGGAATGTGAGGTATTAATTTGTAATCTGACATCCAGTCTTCTTTACGACTCCTATACGTGAGCTAATGTTATTTATAGCTTTATAAACAGTGGGGACCGATTTATCGGTAACGTAACGAACCGAAATCACGATCTAATGTTTGACAAGATAGTGAAAATCATAAAAACGGTAAACTTAGAAAATCATTTTAAAAAAATCCATTAAAAGTATCCAACGTATAAACGATACAATCGTTAAATATGCTTTAATTCGTCGATATCTGCAGCGCAAGTCTATTGAATCTAATGACGGGAGTGGTCGATCGGATGCCTATGGTAAGTACAGTTCATAAATTAAGTCCGCATTTTTCTTGAAATTTTTACTCCCCTTCCCCCATTTTCCAAGTTTCCATAAACTGCTCCTTTCTTCGAATGTCCAAAAGAATTCAATCTCCCTCAAAACCTTTACACTTTATGAATAATAAAATAAATACTGTATAAAATTTAATAAAATAAAACAGACGTTCATTGAAGTTCAACCCCCTCCCTCCCCTTCGAGTATGGACGTCATTTATGGACAGCCCCCATACTACCGACGGGACACTCGTGCCAGAACCCTTGGCCACACGTGACGCTCTTCTAAGTGTTGTAACGCAACCGTAAAAGCGGATACGTCATTATTTTTTTTTTTCACTGCAATCGTTTTGTGATATTTTAATTATTTTTCGTATAAAAATACAAATAGTGGGAATCATAAATTTATAGTGCTTTTAGTATTTTGTATACCCCAAATTTAAAGAATCATGGAGCGTTGGCCGAGAGGAGTTTTGAAGAAAAATGTAGCAAGTACAGGTATTACAATGTTTCCAGTGACGGGGAGACCGAAAAGGCAGATACAAACGATGGTACAGTACAAATGGAGACACAAGCGTTGCATAAAATATTGAAAGAAAAAAGTATTTGAATTAATACTTGCTTTCCGTTATTTTTTTTTTTGCATTTTCAATAAATTGTTCCTGGTGTTTATTTGCTGTTTCATCTATGATCATAAAAACTGTCAGGGTTCCAACTTTTTTTTACTAAGGTGAAAAGGATTCCTCGATAAAAATAAGTTGTAAACCGCTGATCCAGACAGTTCAAGAATGGATTCTAACTGATTAAGAATACGAGTACAGGTTACATATTAAATGTCAGTCAGTTACTGTAGTTATATATAGATGCTGTGTACCTTACAATAAATTTAAATATTCTATATTAATTAATCTTGTAAAATTTTAACTATTCTTATAAAATCTATTGTTTAATTCATTAAAGAAAATATTCAAAAGAACTTTTTAAACCCAAATTTTGTGATCTAGTTTAACTATTTAATTTTAAATGCTGACTTTTGTAGTAGCCGGATAAATACAAAATTAGAAATAAAGTATTCAAATTAAAACATTGTTTAGACTTCTTTTGAAAGTTAAAATACTTAAAAAGATTATTTGTCCTTGATTAGGAACGAGTGAATTGATTTTCATTGTTACATCACTTAATTTTAACCATATTTAAAATGGTACAATATCACAATTTTTAGTTGTGCGATTATGCTAATCTAACAATCCAATAAGAATTGTATTGACATTAAAAGTGAACGTTCTTATAACAAGGCATCCGACATTAACAGGACACATTTTAAGTTTTATATTACAAAAATGCTCTATCCGTTAAGTTTTCATTCAATATTTTAATGCTAAAATTATCAGCTACCATATTAGCAAAAATGATCAAAAAACCATTTTTTTAATTAACATTGATTATACCATAGGTTTTTTATATATACTGTACTAATTGGGCGTAAAAATGCATTTTATAAGGCTAACGAGCCAATATCTAGCACTTAAAAGCAGTGATTTTACATCCGGAACCCTGACGGTTGAGCAACGAAAATCTAGCTTTCCGCTCGTAATTCATCCTCAGTATTTTACTCAAAAAAGTTATTGAAAATCCCCGAATAACTCTCTTGGTGATAAGCGCGTTTAACAGATACAAAAAAACATTTCAAATTTAACTCTTTTATTTAGTAAAAAAATCGTACAAAATACCCGTTATATACAAAATACACAACTTCCGTAAAAAGGAAACTCGTATTTATTCCTTAGTAATCGCACCACCTAAAAAAAGGAATTTGATCTTCCCGACCAGCATTGAATCTCGTTTCTCCCGGAGTTGACTTGTTACCAATGCTTTTATCACCGATACGCGCGTTCCCAGTATCCCCGGATGGTCCTAGATTCAATACTGTTCCCTCATTAACTTAAAAATAAAGCATACTTACATTAGGTAAAGATGTCGAGTGATAGTGAGGCAGAAGGGGTAGAGGTGAGTATTTTCTTGCGTGTTTGGAGCACGTGTTAAAGCCGCACAGCAGCCAATTTTCGTGCTTATTCTCAAGTAGCAGTTGCAAATTAAAATTCGTGAAAATGTGAAAATGAAATTTTTCCATTTAAAGATTTTTTTTTCAAATTCTGCAAATTTAAGAATGACTTTAAAATGTGAATTTTTAATTTTACGTGCTTTTTTTAGATAAGCGACTTCCATTTTGATTTTTCTAAAAGTGACTTCCAAGTGAAATTAAGTGAGCTTAAAGTGAATCCAATTACTTTCGATTATAATGCGATTAAATAACTACGTTAAAAATTTTCAAAGTGAATTATTTTTTTTTTTATATATTTCAATCGTAGAATGATAAAAATTTAGAAGTGTTCGTAATTAATAACTTTTGCAACTTGAGACTCCTTTGGCTACTTGGGACATTTTGTGAATTTAATTAAGTGATTGAAGTTGATGAAGTCGAGATTGTGAAGTGATGTAGGCTAAAAAGATTGTGAATGCATACAACAGTTGTGTAGTCGTTTTATTGAAAATTTGAAGTTTCTTAAGAACTACATCGAATGAATGCATCATGTATAATACAGCTGCAGGGCCGATGGTGACATGAGCCGGTATTAATAAATACCAGTGGTAATCGAAGACATTCAAAACATTGTCAAGTGATACTAAATTTTCAAAAAACATTTATGATGAATCATACAGTTCTCGAGACAATGTACAGAAATAAAAAAACAAAATAACTGATGAATGCTTGATGTAAGATGACGTTGACGTCCCAATAGTTCTCCACCTGATGAGGTGGTCAAATCTTGATGCAGGACATGCTACAAGATGTGGAATCTTGACACTTAACTGCCGTAGGAAAGTCTGTTTGAAGAAAAAGTTTTGCAGATTATATGCACAAGTGAAGATTTTTCTCAATTTCTGACTAACTTCTTATCATATTATGACTTCAGTCTACAGGAAACTATATATATATATATATAATTTATATATATTACATCTGATAACTGCATCCAGGGCTTGAAAATCTAAAGTGAACGCATTCCGATTTACAGACAAGTGTCTGACCGTTTCTATATCCTACTAAAGGACAATTGCAAATTTACCCAACATTCACCTTTTCAAGCCCTGATAAAATGTAAAGCATTCAACAATAATATAGTCAATGCCAATTATTAAGAAAAAATTTGTTAGCTCATTTTGTGACTACTTGAATGAAGGTAATTTTTTAAAATTAAGCTGTAGATTTTAAACGTAATTAAATTAAGTTGGTAAGAATCATTTATGAAGGAAGACAAGTTGTTTTAAAGGATGAAGTGTTAGTAAAACTGAGCCGCTTATTTTCTTGACTAGATTTTCTTTCAAAATTAAAGTGCATTAAATAACTTTCATGGCTAGTCAAGTAGTCACATTATCAAGTTTTGAACATTTTCTACCAATAAAAATCATGTAGCACAAAAATGCAAAGATCCATATTTTTTGTTGGAATGTAGCAATTCAAATTGTGATGCTGACTATACAATAAGTGCAGCTCCTTATTTTGAAAAGTGCTATTACATATTCATATTTTTCTATTACTCAATGTTATAAAAAGTGCATGCATGCCAACAGTGAACTCCAGAATCTTTGCATAGTTTGTGATGTTTTGAACTGCTTATTCTCTGTACATAATTTCAGCTCATGCCACTCAAAAAATGAAAAAAGATGCAAACTTATGTGCTGTGCACGTAATTAAATTTTATACAGATCATAAATCTCATCTAGAAGACTGGAAAAACAAATTTACCTATATAAAATATATTATACACGTGCATTTTTACATGAAGTTTGTGTCACAATACCTTTGTCCCACAGGTGATCTACTGCGGTAGTTGGACCCACCCTTGGAATAATCACCTCCGAGGTCATCGTGAGCATCGTAGTCATTGCGTTCGTTCATGCGGGAGCCCCCTCTTCTTCCCCATCCACCGGAACTCTGTTGGCCAGAGCTCCTATAAGAGTCATAGCCGCCTCCTTGTCTACGTCCAAAACCCCCTCGTCCTCCAAATCCAGAATCTCTTCCACCACGGAAACGTCCTCTCATTCCACCCCTACCTCCTCTTCCTCTTTCATCTCTCCACCCACCTCTACCTCGTCCTCTACCACCTCTGCCTCCACGTCCACTACCACGTGACATCTCAACTCTGATACGTGAACCATTTATCACAACCCCATTCATGTTCTTGATTGCTTCATCGGCATCACGATCGTCATCGTATTCAATGAAGGCAAAACCGGGTGGATTTTGTGCAACCCATATGCTATTCAACTTTCCGTATTTACTGAATTCACGTTCTAAATCGTCTCTGCTCAAGTTATCTCCCAAACCACCAACAAATACACTTGTAGGCTTCATATTTGAAATCTGAAAATAGAAAAACAAATTCCATCAATTAAATTTAAATCAAAATTTAGCAAAAACTCGTTAAAAAAACCGGTTTTTAAATTTTAAAAAAATTATAATTTATGATAAAATATTCATCCCACTTCCGATTGGTAAATCAATGTTTAAAAAAGAAATAAGCCTGACGTCAATCCGCCATGTTGGCTTCTCCCTCATCAAAGAACAATCGAAACCCAAAACGTCCGCCATATTGGACACTCGTTCGAACAAAGGAAATCATCGTATTAACTTATTCTATTCGTCTTAATACTTAAAAATCATCTTATTTAACTCGATATATCATTTCGAAAATAAAATTAAACTTAGTTTCTACATATTTACTAGAAAATTAACCTAACAAGTTATAGCTTTAAAAAAATTTACATGAAATACTTTAATTATTTTAGCATTATAAAATAACCTTAAAATAAGTAGAAATTAACAAAAAAAACAACATACCGAAATTTTCTAAAAATTGGCGAACGATCAAACGGACAACTTACAAAACCTTCCACGTCCTACGAGTCGAAGAACCAAACTGCTGGATCCGGCACAAAACGAGAGACGCCTAAGTCATCAACCAATCAAAACACAGAAAGATCCGGTTAAAACCGGTCAAAGTCAATCTTCATTGGCTAATTCTTCTGTATCAAATACGTCAAAACTATCGCGTTCCTGATTAGTCAGAAAATAATGCGTCATTTCTCGTCAAATTACGATTATAAGAAAATAGAAATTAATAGATGTCGATATCATTTATAAATCTTAATAATATTTAAGTTATGAAATCGAATTTTTAATTAATTAACTTAATAAAACAACATAATAAAATTTATAAATTTATTCCTATTTCTGTATATTTTGACTTCTTCATTGTAAAGAGTTCTAAATTAATTTGTTTCCCAAGTAAAAAGCAGACTACATTATTTAATTTTAAGCGACTTCATTATTGCTTCAGTTCATCTAAAATTACATTTAAAAATCGATAAAGTCCTCTAGTAGCTACGGCTTGTATAAATGTATTAAACTGTAATTATAAACTAAATGAATTAAGTAATGAAATTTAAGGACATGCATTAGTTACTGTTATTAATAGAAATTTCAAGTTTTGGTCCCAAGTTTTCATAATAATTTTATAAAATGGCACAATTAAATAAAAATTTTATAAATTTTTACACACAACACTTTCAATTTTCACTCTATTATTACATGTTAGGCTTAACGAAACAAAAAATGTGTACCGGTACAATGGGCCTTTTCTGTCAGGCTGCATCGACTACAATTTAGGCCTAAATAATTACAAATGTACTTTTAGAAAATCACATTCAAAATCAAATTTTATAATTATTTGAACATTAACATGCTTGTTGATAAACTATACCATTATATTACCTTTTTCAATTCTTTTTTTTTAGTAATATACTGTACAATAAAACAGCGATTCAACTATTCTTAAGCCTAATCAATATCTACAAAGATATTTATTACCAATATTTTAACATTGATTTAATTTCTTTACATGGTTAAAAATTAGACTCGTGAAAGATGTTAAAAATAAATTAATTAATTGAACTTGTAATATATACTCCATTCTATATTTTAAAATATTTTCGAACGTCTAAAAGTTATGACGAAATATTTTGTAGAAAACATTGTTAAAACTTGATTATATACTAAGCCTAATTTTTACAAATAGGCTTAGAAATTTATTTTTCTAATAAGCAATGTCATCAAATCATGAATTTAGTCCTAAATATATATCTTCAGTAACGTTTTGAGATATTTTTGTATATTTCTTTCAAATACATTTTAATTAAACAATTCTTTTCTTTTGATTTTGCTTAAGTAAGCAGTTCAAGATGACTGCTGGCAATGAATTACAGTACATAAAATCACGAGTCATTCTTTTAATTTTTTTCAGAGTTTACGAAGAAAATCATTTTAGTTGTTTCAACAAATATCATATATTATATATTTAATTTACAATTATAGAATCACGATTTAACATTTTTGAAAGCAGAACTTTTTTTTTTCCTTTTAAGCTAAATGTTATTAAAAATTAAATAAATAAATAATTCTGTAATAAATTTAAAACTGAATTACAGTTCAATCGAGGATTAAAAATGAAGTTAGATATAAAATTATAATTTATATATTATTTTTTTTATTCGATTGTTCGTTCTAATAAAATAAATACAATGCTGTGAAATTGCTTACTCTAAACTAACCTCCTTGAGTAAATAAATATAGTACAGTATATTGATTTAGAAAAATATAAATTTAATTAAATGTCTACAAATTAATGATAATTAATTTATTATAGAATAGATATTTTAAATGGTATGTGCAGTACAACAAACACTAAAATTAGAAATATTGATTGTTTATTTCATTTATTGTATGACACGAATTGTAGCACTTGTGTAATTGGAATGTTTTCTACTTGTTTTTAATTGCTAGTTTAATTGTTTTGCCTTTCTATTTAATTAATCATATAATAAAACTATAAGCATTTACTTTATTTACAGTAACTGATACACAAATTAAATTTAAATTTTACTCACTAAAAGTTAGAATTATATGAATGTACAGGTTAATCAAATTACACAATAATTTAAAAATTCGAACAAGATACTGGGCCTAAGAAATCTTTGTTAGCTATACTGCAGTATTTATCAAACAAATAATAAAGTTTTTGTTTTATAATTAATTGCCTTTCTATCCAAATATAACAAATAAGTCAATTACTTTATAAAAATAACTCATTTATAATAAGAATAACTGAAGACTGATACTATAAATTCAGTGATATTAGGCCTAATAAAGAATAAAACTAAATTTTGTTAGGTCTAATCATTTGCTTAGCATTATTGTTAGCTTAAAGAAATTCATAAACTGAAACTTTATTACAATGAACAAAAAGTGAAAAATTTGAAAAAGACTTTATAATAAATATAAATTAATTTAAATATACTAATTAGTTAACTAAATCAAATAAGTTTCTAATCTTTATATGAAATATACTAACAATAATAAAATTAATTTCCAAATATACTTATTTTACAATAACCATTATTTATATATGGCAAACTGTGTCTGTTAAGAAATCCAATAAAATTAAATCAAATTTGAGAAACATTGGTATAGACAAAATAGAAAGACAATTGAATTTGATAAACACTCATATTTTATTTTCATATAATGAATGCATTTTAAAATGTATTAAATTTTGTTAATCTACATTAACAAGGAATTTTATATAATTTTTAATTGAGTTTTGATAAATATTGCCCAGCAACAGATTAACAATATTTTGTTTTAATAAACTTAAATAATCATTGTAATTTTTGAAAACTGTTTTGTAGAATAATGATTATTTTGCTAATTTAGTTTTCTTGTTTTTTTCTTTGACTAATGATAAGATATTTGCTGACGTTTTGTTTTCTGTTTGCTTTTAAAATGCAGATTCTACCAATAAGGAAAATACTCTCAAAATGCATAAAGTAATAAATACAATTGAATTCTTTGCTCTATGTAAAACACACTTAAAATTGAAATTACAACAGAATTAAATTAAACACTAAAAACGTTTGTGAAAACAGTTATTAAACATGAATATTTTCTCTGTTATAGCTTATTTAAATTATAACAAATTCTAACAGAAAACAGAAAATCTTAACATCTTAAGCAATCATTTATAAATAGCCACATATTATATAAGTTCAATTGCTTTACATCATTTCATTGTTGTTAATGTGAATAAGCTTTACATGTTAAAGGTGAGAATACTTTGTGTTTTAACTGTTTTTATTAAGTTTTTTTGTGTTTAATGTCGCTTTGTAATTTGTTTTAGAATTAAAATAATAAAAACATTACTCTGACTTCTTATGACAGTTTCTCTTTGGAACAATTAGATTTCATATTTATAGTTTATTTGGTAACAGACATTCAAAAATTGAAAAAAGAAAAATAGTCGCACAGAAAAATCAAAGCACTCAATCTTATCAGAATATTATCATTTGAAATCATTTGTTAGTTGTACATGATTTTAAATGTTGAGCTGATGTTAATTGGTAGGAAATGATATTAAATGGTGAATTCTTTCCAATCATTTATTTTGCAGAAAAGAATGTTAAATGATGGAAATGATATGAATTGTTATCCAGTAATCTTATAATGTTTTCACATTTTTAATTAACTTGGTTTTGACACTTTAATTCCAACCATTATCATGAAAATTGTCATGTTTCATTCATTCACATGGTGTCCTTTTTACAGAGAGTTGCAGTTGATGGACTGTTCTTCTCCACTCTTCACGGTTATAGGCTTTTACCAAGCTTGAGCCAGTCCATTTTTTGATGTTGTTTTGCCACGTTAGTCTAGGTCTTCTCTTTCTCTGTATGTCCTCCACCATTCCTTGAACTGCAAGTTTCATCAGTTTTTCTTCTCTGGATGCTGACCATCAGGTTTCTTTTTATCCCAAATCTACTCATAACCTCCACATTGGTTATTCATCTATCCAACTAATTCTTTCCATTCTTCTATGACACCACATCTCAAAGGAATTTATCTTACTAACTGCTTCTTGGTTTATTGTCCATGACTTGCATCCATACCTAGCCACTCCAAATCATTGTTTTAAGTATTTTTAGTTTCAATTTTTTGCATACATTTCTCTCTCTTAATACTGAGGATATTTGTATAAAAGCAGCTTTAGCCTTTTTTATTCTGTTTTTAATTTCATGATTACATCTGTTATCCTCAGTTATCTAACTTCCCAGGTACTCAAACATTTTTTACCTTTTCTTTTTCCTTCCATCCAACATAATCTGTAGATCTTTGTTTTCTATGTGTAATATTTTTATATTATTTTCTAATTTTTGTTTCATTCTTTATTTTTCTTTATTTGTAATTTTTAAAATGTATATTTAAATCTTATTTCTTGCAGGCACTTTGTATTCTATTTAGAAAGCCATCCTGAAGAGGAGGTTTGTAATGTCAAAAATATTTGAAAGAAAAATGTATGTTTCCACCTTGAATGTTTGTTTTTATCTGTCTCTCACCAAGAAAAGTTACTTATATTTGCCAATAATATTAATGTGATATATGCTAGTTTACAAATTCAAAATAGTATCATTTGGCAAATGTACTGTTTATCAATAATAGTGTGTATTATTTGATTTTAAATTACTCGACATTTTCAATATAGTATATCAAATCAATTTACAAAGTGTGTCTGAGAGAAAATTTCAAAACAAGCCTGTAAGAAATTTAACTACTGTAAAATTTTCTTCTACAAAAGAAGCTGGAAGAAGTACAACTAATATAAAAAATTTGTTAAGTTGAATTATTACAGTTGAAGCTTGAAAGCTGCAACACTTCTTTCAGCCAAAGCCATCTTCAGAAGTCAGTATTCAATCATTAAAGTAATGATTTAAACTTCTACGAGAAGTTTAATGTCATTACTTTAATGATTGAATATTTTCTTTTAATTAATTTGCTTTAATTAATGCCTGATAATTTTCTTTTAATTAATTTTTGTTTTCATCTTTTTGATTTATTAAAAAAAATGAAAGTAGTCTTTTTTTCAGTTGTTTTCCACTAGTCTT